CTCCTTATAACCTTCCCCAACAGATGCTCTAAGTTTCCGTATCTGGTGGTACTCATGGCCAGGGGCACGCTGATGCTTCCTACTGCAAGCACCTGTGACTCAGACTAAAGGCTTTCTTTGGTCAGAAGCATGTCCAGCTTGCATAGAGGGAGGCAGAGGTGGGGGGAGGGGGGACTAGAAGGCATCCCATGTGGTCTACAATAAACCTCAGAGGGCACGAAGAGCGTTGAGCTCCAACTTCCCCAGCAGCAACCTGTTCATTAACGAACGCTGAATTGGCCCTTTGCTGTCTCATTCCCTCGCCCCCCGCCACCTGTACATCCCTCCTAAATAGACTATTGCACACGAATTCTAGTCTCAGGGTCCACTTCTAGGAAAACCCAAACTAAAAGACACTCCAGGATGAAAGGTAGTGTCCCCAGGCAATTTGCATAAGGGAATTAACTGAGTAACAGGATCCCCATTACAACCACTGTTCCCCACAGAGTGTGTTGTACGTCACCCTTCTTGTTTCCCCATGTTTCCTTCTTTACTGGAAGCTCTGGAAATTTCACCTTGTCCAACTCACAAGTTCTCTTGTATATCCCATAACTTTCTCCCCCCCTTCTTTCCCTCTCTTTCAAAATTTTCAGATTATTTTAGGAAAATGTCTCTCTTTCTAAGCTCCCCCACCTTATTTTTGAGCCTCCAATATTTCCTAACTCATATCTGAAAATGCAAGGGCACCAGACAGGGAAAGTCATATTTTCCCAGTGTCATTGGACATAATGAAAACCATCACCCTCAACCTCCAGAGCACTAAAAAGTATCCCTACAATCTCCTCTCAGCATCACTATAAATGTCTTCTTTGTCTTCCTCAAGCTCTTATAAACCCAATTTTCTTCAAGTACCAACTTTCGGGTAAAGGTAAATATAATTCTCTTACAATTTTCCAACGTTTTTCCTTTTTTGTTTGCAAGTAAGGCATCAAGTTTTTTAAACTATTTTTCACTACAAATACACAGCATTACAGTAACATTAAAGATCTACTCATTTTCTATGCAGGGGCACTAGACAAAGGAGCATATATAACATGATTTTCAACACATTTTTGCATCTCAGAGGATGGCAGCACCCTTCCCTCTTTTTTGCCCCCTCAGTGATATTGATACACATTACTCAACTTTACTAACAAATTGGACAGGAACAAGAAGTTTGTTTTCTAAATATATGAGCTATGCACAGGATGCCTCAGACTTAAAATACAGCATTTCACTGTGCTCTAATGTAAAAAGTACTGGGCAGTGAGCATCTAGTTTTTTGGTCTCTTTGTTTTTCATGGTGACATGCAGTGTACATTCTGTACCACTATAGCGTTTACTTGTTCATTTATTCATTTTTTCACAATACTTTAAGTTTACAAAAGAAAGAATATGTCTGTTCTGCTTACTCAATTAATTGGTGACACAATTCCAACTCAAATCGGCTGAAGCGAAAAAAGAAAAGTTACAGCTTCCCAGTCTGAAGCTAAGATGCTGATATGCTAAGACTGAGTGGCTCAAAAAAAAGAAGACATTGCCTCTCCATTATTTATCTCCACTTTCCTCTGTGTAGGCTTCGTTCTCAGGCTCCCCAAGTGATGCTAAAGATACTACTTCTCAGCAGCAAAGGGCTTTTAATATCCTCCGAGGCAGAATCCTAAACAAATCAGGGGCCTCTTTCCCAATAATTCCAGGGAAGGTCCTGGGGAGCAATCTGATTGGCTTTGCTAGGGTCACATATCTACCCCTGATCCAATCACCTTGATCAAGAAGAACAAAGAACATTTACTGGTCAGGCCTGAGCCTTGGAGCTGAGCCTAAAGTCAGCCCCACCTAAGCACATGGACTGAAAAATGGGAGCCATGCAGTTCATTGTGGAGAAACTAGACTGAAAAAAATGATGCTGAGAAATGTACTTCCATTCTATTTCATATCCCCAGTTAGCCCCGTCATATAATGCAACATAGCATATCAAAGTCCAAAGGCAATAAAATCCAAAATCAAATTGTCTCACCAACTCTGAATTAAAGTTCACAGGAAGTAAAGTCCTGTCTGATTTCTTGATTTGTTCATTCTCAGCTATAGGAGTTGTATCATTTACACCCGTCATCTGAGATATCTCTCACTGGAATTGGGATAGTTTTCCCAGGCAGAAATGTTATTCCTAGAATGCAATATTTGTTGAGATTTGGTGATACCTAAAATAGGGAGGCAAGATGGATTGCTCTCACCAGGATGCCAGAATGTCTATGCAAGTATCAGAATCCATGGCCTGTCAACCTAAATGCAGTTACGAGATGTCTTTTCACAGGAAGTTGATTTAAACACTATGCATCTACCATAACTGGGGAGGAGGAACCTCCTCCATTAACAGCATTTTACCGAATAGATTGAGACATTGCTGCCTCTGGGCAAAATTATACATTTGTAACAAGCACAACTCAAGCACCAGCACTGATCTGAGAATTCTTTCTTCCTCCTCCAGGGGATCCCAGTAGATTTCCATTTCCCCTTTGACCTCTGGGTTCTCAGCACTTACATGCTGCCCTGATGGAGAGTTTTATCTAATAACACAACCTCCACAATATTTTGAGGGTAAGTAGTCACCTTTCTAGTTTCATATTTTAGTGGCTGCCACCTCTACCCTTATTAAGGACCTGCTCACACCTGAGACACTTGCCCCTGGAGAGAGTTGTCACTCCTTCTCACCTTTATTTCAGCTAGAAGATCTCCCTTCTCAGATTCTCACACTGAAGCTGCTTTTTGATGTTTCTTAATGCCGTGCCCCGCCCCACACCCCAGGGCCTAGGGAAGGTCAGTATCTCTGCCATATGTTGCTTTTAACATCCTGTTCCTGGCTCTCCTCTGCTTTTACATCCTGTAAAGTTCTCAGGCATGTTCCCTCAGGGCACTGGAAAGATCTAGTTTACCTTCCATATTATCTTGAAACTCAGAAGCTCTTTAATATTTTTGTTTTTGAACATAGAGTCATATAAATTCAAGATTGCCCTCTTTTTACCAGTACCCAGATATTTCAATATTCACATCTCCTCCACAGAGCCCCTGTGTTTTTAGAAACTTAGTCCTGCCCCTAACTCTGGAAATGATCTAGTCTGGTTTAAGGCAAGCTGCGTAGTACTATTCCCCAGCAAAAATCACTGGTGGGTATGTGACCTAAGCTAGTACAGTTAGGATGATCTCAGGACTTTTGCTTGCAAAGATAGAGAAAAGTACTCTCTCTCCCTCTGCTGGTCACAAACAGGGAGCCTGTAGCCAGCAGCCATCCTACAAGATTACGTGCTAGAACTCGTATAGAAAAATGATTGCCATCTTTATCGAAGTATCACCTTGAAGGACTCTGTACTTATTCCAAAGAATCATTGGCCAAACTGAGGATTTCCTCCTTGAGAACAGAGTTCCCAATCTATGGCACATTCTTTTATAAAAATATATAGCCTCACAGGTGGGAAAAACCTGTCTTTTGAGGGTAGGTTTTACATTTTTCTTTAAATTAATTTTTATTGGAGTATGGTTGCTTTACAATGTTGTGTTAGCCTCCACTGCACAACAAAATGAATCAGCCATACACATACAGGTATCCCCTCCCTTTTGGACTTCCCTCCCATTTAGGTTACCACAGTGCATTAGGTAGAGTTCCCTGTGTTTATATTTTAAAAGCTATAACTTACTCAGAACCAAGAGTCAACAGGTATATATCAGTGTGATAATAGTATTTTTTTAAACAGGCGAACTTTAACATTTTGAGTGGTTTCCTTGTTGCTAAAACCCTGGTCCTGAAGGCAGCATCTCCTTTTGAACAAATATATAACCACTTACTTTCATCATGAAAAGAAAAAGTTTTCACTTCTTAATTTCACCTTAGTAAACTCTGGTTTTTCTTCGAAACTTTTAAATACATAGATTCTACTGAAATCTCAAAACAGCTAATCCTTAAAAAAAAAAAAAGTCAGCCCCTGAATGTTCTTTCTTAAGGGTTAAAACCCAAGTTTCCTTTGTCAAATTCCCAAAGCAACCATATTAACATCTGCAAATGACATCACAGAGTCACATGCAGTAAAGAGGATGTTTAGAGATCGGACATATATTTTGCTTAGTCTGGTTCTCAGCCAGCCCAACAGGACAAAAACCCAGCTGCTGGCTCACTACCTGGGTGACCTCCCACGTAGTTTGGATGCCTTTGGAGTTCCTATTTTATAGAATTAACTGTTACTACTTCCTTTTAAGTTTCAAAAGCCCCTTATCATCCGTTCCAATAAAGGAGACCAAAATGATACAGCTTAGCAAGAATCATTTAATCCATTTCAGTTCTCCAAGAGATTCTGGGCCCACATCAATAATCTAAAGACACCAACTTCAGCCCTATTTTTAAAAATACCTCCAGTGAAGGAGTTTTCCTCAGTAATTAAAAAAAAATTTTTTTTAATATATTGATTTATTTATTTTTGGCTGCGTTGTGTCTTCGTTGCTGCATGGGCTTTCTCTAGTTGCTGCTAGTGGTGGCAACTCTTCGTTGCGGTGCGCAGGCTTCTCACTGCGGTGGCTTCTCTTGTTGCAGAGCAAGGCTCTAGGCGCGTGGGCTTCAGTAGTTGTGGCTCGTGGGCTCGGTAGTTGTGGATCGCGGGCTCTAGAGAGCAGGCTCAGTAGCTGTGGCACACAGGCTTAGTTGCTCCACAGCATGTGGGATCTTCCTGGACCAGGGCTCGAACCCGTGTCCCCGGCATCGGCAGGTGGACTCTCAACCACTGTGCCACCAGGGAAGCCCTGTACAATTTTACTTATAATATTTTTCAGAGGAAAAAATAATTAAGTGGAGATTTTTTTTAGGTGGGCCTGGGATTTCCTAATTCTAACTGGAAAATGCTGAAATGAGGTTTTATAGCATCTTTCTTCAGAGATGCTCTAAGAACAGCCATCTTGTTTGTCTTTATGAGAAAACTATGAATTAAAGAAGATGCATGTTTCATTTTTTCAAACAGCTTTATTGAGATATAATTGATATACAAGAAAATTGGACAAATAGATACAAATTTATGAGTTTGGAGATATGCATACATATGCAAATATGAATTTGGAATTGCCTAGTGGAAATCACTTTTTCCATAGGTAAACAAAGTGATGAAAAACTTTTAAGAAGCTTTGCCATCTTTTAATCAATCACCAAAGTGCAAAGAATAAAATAAAGTGAATGTTATGAGCCCAAATTAAGAGAAAAGTTAGTGACTAGGAGTCCCCCCTTTTAATTTCTTTTGATTTAAACGAAGTGTCCATTGTATGGAAGTAAACAAGAGGTATGATACAAATTTAATTGCACATTGTGCCTAGTATATAACATGGGAAGCAGAAAGTTTATTTACCAAAGTAATATGACATTGAGTCATTAAAACCACAAGCTACTTTATTTATCAATGATGTCAGTATTCAAAGTTGTCCAGTTAAAAATCTATTTTCTCTTGAAAAAGAAATACACTGAAAGGAAATGCAAGGAGCTTAAGAGTGATATCATGATTCCCAACAGCAAGAATAAAGTCTGCAGCAGTGACTGTGAGAAAGTGAGTCACAGGGAAATGCGGGTAGCTTAAAAGACCCAGTTACGAGGGCCAGAAAAGAGAATATCTGAGTGGAGTCATCATAGGGGTGAAAATGCAGAAATGTGAGTAAACCAGTGTGGAATGAATGTGTGCATGTGGAAAATACATCTGCAGAGGCACTAGACAGCAGGTCCCAGATCTAAATTCAAGTACCTGATAAAAAAAAAGTAAGACTTTAAATCAAAACTTAATACCACAAGCCTAGTCGTGTAACATCTAGACGTTCCCTTATTTGTCCATCACCTTTGTTTTCTCTGTAAGCCTATTGAGCAGAAGGTCAGTAAGTACAAATGTACTCTTTCCTCACTTGGTTTAAATTTTATAGCAAATCAGAAGAGGGTGTAGGTATAGCTGAGATTACAGGGGGAAGAGCTTATTGAAGCAGGGTTGACAGTAGGTCTTGTCATTCTGCTCTCTGAAGATTCCCTTCGACAGCTGCGTCAGGCAGAAAGCACATACAAAGTGCTCAGGATGGAACTTGTAGCCCATGGCACTGATGCAGCGACCAGCGATGGGCTGCCCACACCCGTGGCAAAGGGTTCCTCGGCGGTGATGGTAGTGGAGTTCACAGAAGGGACGTCCATCCAGTTCAAAGAAGGAGCCAGTAGAAAAACTGCTAAAGCAGTCCTGGGTGGGGTGGTGGAGAGAAGAAAAAGAAAAGGGAGGCAGATGTCAAGCAGTAAAAGCATCAGCAAAACTTCAGCCTTGAAATCCCTGCCAGTTTCCTGCCAGTGCAGGAATTCACTTGGGTTCCTGACAAATAGAGGCTAGAATATTGCCCATCTGCAAGACAGACAAGCAAATGCCCACAATGGAGGCTGTGTTTTGTGTTCCTTTTAAGAAGGCCCCTGTCAAGTTCTCATCCCGAGCTGTGAACCCTCTTACCAGCTGCCTCTCAGAAAGGAGAACCCTGACTTTCCCTAAATCCAAGAGATAAGTGAGTATACAGACCCCACAGACAAAGCACTCTGGGTGCCAGACAGTGTCCATGGCTGAAAGGTAGTTTTCCAGCACTGGGCGGTTGCAGCCACCACACTTGGGTGAGAACATGGCTAAGAAATCCTTCTGGCAATACGGCTTCTTGTCCTTCTCATGAAAGCCTGGAGAGAGAAAAATCAAGGGTTTACTACTGCACTGTGAGACCTTAAACCAAGTTAGAGACTGAGAAGAGGCCAATAATTTAAACTCTCCCAAACTCAGGGTCTTCATATTCAAAATGGTGCTAATAGATACCTACCCCAAAGGGCTCTTAGAAGAAATATATGAGATAATGCAGGTAAAGTGTTTCCGTATTGTGCCTGGTTCATACTAAGCATTTAATAAGCATTAAGGTGTATTCCTCCTCAGTGCCTTTGTACTGAGTATTCCCTCAGCCTGTACAGTTCTGCCCCAGGCCTTGATATGGCTAGCTTCACCTTGTGTTTCAGAAATCAGCTCAAATATCATCTTATCAGAGAGGCATCTCTTTAGCCTGTATCTACACTTCATCTTTTTTATTGTCTTTATAACATTTTCCATTATATGAAATTTTGTGGTCTGTCGTACATCAATGGAACATTTGCTCTGAAAGAAACTAGATATTGTTGCTCTGGTCACATTATATCCCTAGTGCCTAATATTTAAAAATAAAGTACTATTAAGTAATAATTTCCAAATCTATGCAAGATCTAAATATAGTAATGAAAACCCTACAAATACTTGAATTAAATATGGATAGGTTTCTCTTTAATCGAGGAATGAGAAAATTGTAATAAAAACGGCTCACATTTAAAAAGCAAGTTAGAGACTAATAAATTTAGCTACATTAAAAATACATATGAATGACTTATGCATGACGAAAAGATATCATAAGCAAAGACAAAGACAAAGGACAAACTGAGGAAAATATCTGCTAATTATATCTCAGAAAAATATAGTTAATACAAGAGTTCCTAACTGGATGCATGATTTAAGGTATTGTTTTATAAAATTTTTAAAAATATAAAATAAAATAGAAAAAAAAATCCCTAAAAATTAAATTAAGTTTAAGCAAATTAACTTAACTGTATATCAAATTGATGATATGACTAAAGAAAGGCAATGATTCATTCATGTGGCTTTAAAACACAGTATTTTGACTGTATAGTCATACTGGATCTATCCTAAAGACAAAAAGAGCTACAAAGAAATTTTAAGCTTTTTTCAATAATCTTGTTTTTGCAACATTTATATTGATTTCTTTAAAATAATATGGGTAGATTTATAAGAAAGCAAATAATCAGTTATAGTAATTTGGTAATACCCTTGCTAGGCAAGGTTTTCAGTGTGAAAAAAGATACAAGCATAATATAAAACAATTTCAGTAAAGGAAAAAAACCTGTAATCTTATATTAGAAAGATCAGTATAGAGATAGTCTCATCCACCAGAGGGCAGACAGCAGAAGCAAGAAGAACTACAATCCTAGAGCCTGTGGAACAAAAACCACATTCACAGAAAAATAGACAAGATGAAAAGGCAGAGGGCTATGTACCAGATGAAGGAACAAGATAAAACCCCAGAAAAACAACTAAATGAAATGGAGATAGGCAATCTTCCAGAAAAAGAATTCAGAAAATGATAGTGAAGATGATCCAGGACCTCAGAAAAAGAATGGAGGCAAAGATCGAGAAGACGAAAGAAATGTTTAACAAAGATCTAGAAGAATTAAAGAACAAACAAACAGAGATGAACAATACGATAACTGAAATGAA